TTCCTGTATCCCAAAGTACGAGGCTGTGTAAAGTTTTGGTGCAGAAGTAAGTGCCTTTTGACACCAGGTATATATCTGAATAAAATATTTTAAGAAATATAGAAGAAAAATAGTTTAGCAAAGTAATTTCTAATGGAAGAAGGTGTTCTGAATAAAAATCATCCTACTTACTGCAGGAGGATGAATCGAAGGTCCTCTTGCTGCTTGTATCAGTAGTATGGAGGAGTGGGGAGTTTTTAAACTCTGCAGAAGCTCTTTGTGTAAAAACAAATTTCACCCTTACAGATTCTTCCCATTCCGCTCAGGTTAAGGGCAGTGCTGGCTCTTAGACTAGCTGAGAAACTCTGCTAGCCCTTGACTAACTGTTGACTGCTTTAGCCCGTGCGGCTGGCTCAAATTGAGCTGTTGGAAGGAAGATGTCGAGGCGTTTGCAGTCTCTTCAGGATGTGTGCACACCATGTCTTGTCAGCAGGCATGTGCAGCCTGTATGCAAGCACTGAACCAGCTAAAATATGTATACTCGTATTGGTGCTGAACCAGGGTGAGCTAATTAATGTTTTTGCTAGGCAGGAAACAGTAGTTCAGGTTGAGCTTCTTGGCTACAGAGCTATTACAGAAGCTGCAAAGAAACTACATCAGCATATTTAGATCTTGCAGATACTTACTGACTTCTGCTAAATAGAGTGGACTATCCATGTGAAGTGTGTGTGTCATGCAGAGGGGTTTGGAAACGTGTAGTCAGTGTAGCAGTCCTCTATTACTGTCCACAGTTCAGTGTGGACTAACTGCGTAGCAGTTGGAAAACAACATTATTCCTTTGGCTTGCCTCAATACTTTGATAACTTGCTTCAGAAACTGGGATTTTCTTAAGTTCTCAGCAGCCACAAACCTGAAGACATTATCTGGATGCTGTGTGGGCTTAGAATTCCATCCCAGCTGACCTCAGTACAAAAATGGAGCAGTGTCCTTTGTCCACAAAGAACGAAATTCAGTGAAAGCACCTGCTGAGCAAAAAAAAAAACCCATTCTGCAGTGCAACAATGACACTGTGTTGTCTAATATGAACAAAACTTCACAGACAACTCTGCTCCAGTTAGGTTATTGATTAAGGCTATCGTGACTGTACTTAGTTTTATGAGGTATATATTCCCAGTCCAAATGGTGTCATCTTTTTCCAGGTATGGATTTTGTTCCTTAGTTGGTACAAATGAAATTTCCAGCTAATGCAATCAACTCCCTTTCTGCTTATCTTGGCATAAGAAATATCTGTGGTTGATGTTAAGCCTCAGGATTTAAAAGTAGCTCTTAGGTCTCACTCGGCTTCCAGCTGCTTTCAGGAGAAATGTTGGAGAGAAGGCTTTCTCCAAATAAGAAACTGGCAGTACCAACCTGTGCTCCAGAGGAGATATTTTCCAACCCTAGGGCCCTATAAAACTTGGCTACTTTGACTCCAGCTTCCTTCACTCTGGACTTCCAATGCTGTGACTGGATCATAAAACCATTTTGTTCTAGGGCAACGCCCAAGTCTGGCAGCTCTGTTAACAACTGGAACTTCAGCCTTCTTAGCGTAACCTACATCTGTGTTCTTACACCTATGTGAGGTGGATGCTCAGACTGTATAGCAACATCCCATCTTCCAAGAGCTGCCCCCATATCTCAGCCTTTTCTCCTGGTCAGAACAGACAATGTGGATCACTTTCTACCCTTCCAAAGAAAATGCAGTTTGGCTTTAAGGTAGTACCATTTGATGCTGTTAAGATTGTGACCCTTGTCTCTTATCCCACCATCTGGTTAGGAACTTCTTTGTATGGTAGGTTTTAACAATTTCTCTCTCCCCAGTTGGCGTGATATACGAGTTAAAATCTTGTCTTGGCTTTGCAACACCTTACATATAGCACTTGTTAAAAGAATTGACTTGTACGATACATGAAGAGCATGCATTTTAGGGTGTCATTACCTCATGACAGAGATCACATATGATATTAATACTATGGTGACAGTTGGAGTAATAGATTGCTTGAACTGCCCAGTCTCTACCCCTTCCTCGTTGTTTGCTGTCAGTTGTAGAGGTGCCATGTGTCACAGCTTGTTCAAAATCCTGTGTGAACAGATGGCTAAATATGTTGCCGGGGGGTATTACTGTCTGCAGGTTACAAGCATTCCCGCTGAAGCTCTGTACATGGATGCTTGGGCACTGTGGAATTCTGTGTCATGATTTGATCTAAGTAAGAGGTTTCTATTGTTATTGTCAAAATTTTAGCACGTATGCTCTTAGGTAACATGAGAATATATATCATTAATCAATATGTATTATCTTGTTCTCACTGAGTTTCTGAACTAGCCTGGCTCTGGTTTACTTGGATCCATAATATTAAACTATTACTTTCTTATTAATTCTGGTTTCTGTTTTTCTTCCAGACTGTTTCTGCTTTTCTTGAAGCACTCGTTCTTGTGGAATGAGTAATAAAAAGCAAAAACACATCAGCTGTATTAATGAATGTTATCTATCATCAGTTTGCTTTCTCAGGTTCTGGTAGCCACTGCACGCAAAACAGCTGTGTTACTAAAGCTGAGCAAAAATATTCTGGCATTATTCCTTCTCCTCTGAGCATCCTGTGGTTGACACAGCTAATATTTAGGCCTGCTTCAATTTTGCTTTAAGAAAAAATTCAAGGAAAGCAAAATCACAGGTTTTGTGATTCCTCATCTCTATGTGGAGACAGGGAGTGGTATCCCAGCACAATAACCTGGCCAGCAGAGCAGGGACTGGCAGCTGGGCCCATCCCACCCGCAGCCAGGTGTGAGGCAGCCCCAGCCCTGGTCATGGGCACCTCCCTGGGGACAGGATGGGCGCAGCTGGAGACCAGCCCTGCTGCGGTGTCGCTGGGGCAGGGACTGATGTCCCGGGGGGGCTGACATGGGGTCCTGGGCTGTGGGCAGGGTGTGGGTGGCCCTGGGAAGCCTGGACACGAGTAGTGAGGCTTGGTGGTGCCCTCAGGGCCTGACAGTGCTACCTGAATCCTCTTACTACTCTCTTGCCTCATTGCTCCGTTTGTACTTTCCCGTATGTTTAAAATAGAAGACTATGTGCCCAGGGCAATTGTTTTTGCCCACCATGTGTGCACCCCCTGACCCACAAGAACATAGTTGCAGTTCCAGCCCCACCCTTGTACCTAGTGGGTTTCATTGACCACAGACTTCCCTGCCCCTTAAGGCTTTGAGCAAGGCATTCGGAATCACTGTATTCAGGGAGTGGAGTGAATATGGCTTGTGGAAATCTGAACCCTACTCATTCCACCCTCAGGAGTAATATTTCCCGTTAACATTTCCTGGTAACTCTCCTGGTATGGTTATTTCAGATCTGTGCCATCCCAGCATTCAGTCATTCCCAGCATTCCTCACACATCTGGAAACTTTGGCTTTGAGGAGTTTCAGGGCTTAGTATTCAAAACAGGTTAATATATACCA